CCCTTTCGCTCCTCTTTTATGTCCTCTGGGAGGGGCCATTCATCATCCACCTGTGGCCTTACTCCCAAGTCAAACCCTGTTCTTTATCTGTTCTCTTCGTCTGGCAGCTCTGCACATGCGCACACTGGGAACAGGCTCCAGCTGTTCCTCTGCCTCACTGATGTCTGACTCCGAAGGCAGCTGGAAACTGTTGGACGGCCCTGGCCCCCTCTCTGCCTCCGACACAGAGCCCTCCTCAGAGCCTTCCCCAGACTCCAGGACTGGCCCAGGTTCCTCCCCAACCCTCCTCACTCTCCAAATCTGTTGTCAGCTCCTCTGGTTGCTGGCAAGCCACAACACCATCACACTCAAAGGCACTCTGCGGCCACCAGGAGACAAAAAACACGGCAGGTGCTGTATCGCCGCCCTTTCTGGAACACACCTGAGCACTGCAACCTACCAATAATTTACGTTTGATTGAGAGCTGCTAGCCGTGTAGATGTCAGGGTTCCAAATAGCATCCAGGATCCTGCCCCAAGACCCACAAGTTCATCACATGGCCCAGTCTTCCCCTGCCACAGATTCCAACCCCTTCCAGTTCCAGCCAGGTGCAGAGACAAGAGATGACCTTGAGTTTCTGAGAAGAATGTTGTTATGGCTACATATCGCCTAGCCTCTGTATAATTCCCCCCCCCCCACTCCCGTTTTCCCGCAGCAGAAAGTAAACAAGTAGAAAGTGTGGTAGGCTTGGAAGTCCAACGATGGGTTGCAGGCATGATTGTAAATTTCTCCCATCTCAACTCACGGGGGTGGGTTTGCTTCCTTTTTTAAAAAAACAAACAAACTTGTGTTTTCGAACCGTCACGTTGAATGTTCCTCTGAACTCATGTTGTCTTAATTTTTGCTGATAGCCAAAGAGAGACATTTCTGAAGAACCTGAAAAAAATGTAAGAGGACCTTTCCTTCTCCCACTCTTTACCCCCCTCTCCCCCACCCCGATTCTTTCCCCATAAAGCATTTTGCCGACTGGTGCTTTTTTTTAACCACTAACAACGCAGATTGGTCTCGGGGACATTCTCTCCCCTCTGTGGCTGCATGGAATTGGAAGAACCCTCGCGGCTTTTAAACACGTAGGACCTTGACCAGAAGCGGGAAGTTGAGAACAGGGAAGCGGGATTCCTAAAAGCTTTTTATACAAACCTTCTAAACTTAGCACGGCGTCCTCCTTTCGTGCTTAAAACATTTGCAAGCATCTCGTAAGAAACTTCGCCGCAGAGATTTGCTCCAAAATCTTGAATGGGTTGATTAGCCAAGATCCAAGCCAAGTGGGTGATTTCCTCGGGCTCCATTCCCAAAATTAATGCGAGAAAGTGAGAAATCAGGATGGAAGAAACCATTAGCTTTCTTCATTCCCCCCACCCCACCCTCCCCGGTCCCCATAGCTTTGCTTTCCAATTATTTTGTGAAAGATCTTCAGGATGTTTTTATTTCATACATCCCCCGTATTGTGCGTTGCACGTGTGTGTAGTGCGACTCCTAGGAAGAACTGAAGGACGTTTTAGAGCCTTTTCCTACACACACAAAAAACATGTCAGCCTCATTTCCATGATCTCTGGAGGGTCCTGCCTGCTTCTTCCCACCCCTCTCCCCGGTGCAGAATCAAATCCTCAAGCTGGCACTTCTGGCCTTGTGAGTTCTGATTGCACAGCGAAGTATTGCGATGGTGATGACGGTGGTGATGATGATTTTGGCTCTTCTTAAATCAAGGCAGCGGCGTCGCTGAGTGAAATCTGCATGCCACCTACTTTTCCGTTTCCTTTTTTCGCGAATGCTTTCTTCCTGCACCCAAATCTTTTCTAAGCAGGGTGTACGTACCCCATCCCGGTTGAAACCCTTTGCTTTTGAGTATTGATTGAATTGAGCATTTGCAAAAAAAACAACAACCCCAGAACAGTCCACTTCTCCGAGCCTCCCGTTTTAATCGATTTGCCAACTCTTGGGAGAAAATGAGGGTCTTGTGACACCTAAAAAAAACAAAACCCTAGGTTTGAAGACGACTGAAGGCCACGAACACCTGTAAAGTTCTTCACTGATTGGAGCAAGGTCTCATCGAGTAGGATCTCCAGTTCTCCTGGATTACAACTCCTGTAATTCCTAATCCACAGGCTAATCCATGCTGTCTGGAGACCAACACGTTCCCTATCTTCCCCAGGGTTTGTTAGCCAAAATAGGATATCGACCTTTGCATAGGTTGGTCTCCCCTTCTTCAATCCATCTAGCGTGCTTTTGGAGTAGAAGAAGGTTGAAGGGCCAATTAAATTTGGGGTGTCACCTGTGTTGCTCCCTTTATCATCCCCAACCTGTTCAACAATGTTCAAACATCTTATTCTCAACGATCGGAGAAGGATGTATTTCAAGGGCCATCGTAATGACCTACAGCGTAGAAGAGAGGGATTCCTCTGGTTCCCCATTGATTTTGAAGACCTTTAACCCTAATTGCCCCCCATTAGTTGGGCTTCCTTTCAATCGTCCCTCCTGTGAAATCTGAAAACCTTGCCGAGAAACATCTAGGAAAGCTTTTGAGAAGGATCTACTCCTTATAGTTGAGCTCTCTTCATCCAAGGAGGTTGGCCTGAGGGAACCTGCCAGAGCATCATCTGGGCTCATGTTGGGACCATCTAGTCTTAACTCCTGGTTCAACACTCAAGAGCCATGTCACCCCCAACATCTGGCTTGCCACCTTCTCCTTGAAGACCTTCGGCGAGAGGGTTTGATCACCCTCTTCATAAAGAGCTCTGATCCTGCAGGGTCTTCTCTCAAAATGTTCCCCGTGCCCAGAAAAAGCCCCTCTTCACCTTCCCCCGAAGGTTCTCCTCCTCCCAACATAATCACCGAGTCTCTTCCTGCCTCCCCCCCACCCCACCCCTGGTAAAAAAGAGTCGTCTTCTAGGGAGAGGCCACCGGGAGCATCAACCGTGACTGACAAGAGCATTAACTCTTCCTAATTTGCGCTGATGAAACGTCACGCCCGATCAGTAACTTTTGGCTGCATGGTTTTGTCGCTTTTTGATTGTGTGTTGTGTCCCTCCATAAATCCACCCTTGGACTCTCGGCCTGTCGGCCCCGAGTCCCACCTTAGTCCATCTTTCGCCTGGTTCATTTTTTTTCTTTCTTTTTTTGTCACTCTCTCCCTTCTTCTTCTTCTTCCATCCACCCCTTCCATCTTCTGCTGCTCCTCACTGGTAGAAGACAGCCGCTGGCACCTCCTGCATGTCGCTCCTCTTTCTTCTCATGCTGGCATGTGATGGTGGCACTGTGTTCTCTTCCTTTTCCTTTTTTACTAACAGACGCAGACCAAACTGGAACATGCCCGCCTTAAGGAACTTGAACAGTCTCTTCTCTTTGAAAAGACCAAAGCTGGCAAACTCCAGAGGGAGTTAGAAGACACTAGGGTAATGGACTTCACTATGTCTCGATCAAGGGGGCCTCGATGTGGCGTGAGAGCGTCTCTGTGTGAAAACAATGTGAAGGGTTTTCCGTGGGGAAGGTTTGTGACGTTGGAGCTAAGTGGCCCGCGTGACCCGACAAATGCGCGCACGACAAAAGCGCGCCGACGAAACCGCGGCGCGGAAAACCGCGACGTGACCAACGCGCCCACAACGGCGCGCCGACAGAAGCGCGATTTAAGTTAAGGTAAGCGTTAGGTTCAGGGTTAGGGTTAGGGTTAGGTTCAGGGTTAGGTTCAGGATTAGGGTTAGGTTCAGGGTTAGGGTTAGGGTTAGAGCGCGCTGTTGTCGGCGCGCTTCTGCGCTCATTCGTCGGCGCGATTTAGAACTCACGGTTTTCTCGCCGCGGTTTCGTCGGGCGCGCTTTTGTCGGGCGCGCATTTGTCGGTGAACCAGTGGCCGGTTGTATTTTGGAAACCCTGCTTCTTGAGGGGTCCATCAGAGGTCCCCAAAGACCCCGCCCTTCATTCCTGAGCTACCAATGTTCTCTTCCGTTGCTTCGAGTCGATTTTTGCCGTGTCTCTAAACGTTCAGCCTTGCTAAACTTAAAATCCCTCTTTGTGGACTAGCTTTCAGGCTATTTTGAAGTCCCAGTGAAATGATTTCACAGAAGGGAGCAAGGAGTCATAAATGTAAAAGAAGCCCAAGAGATGCCAGAACCTCAAGAGGTAACCAGTTTTCAGGAGCTGATGGACATTCAGTTGTTCCTTCATCTATATGGTGAAGACCATCTTAGCTTCCTGGTTGAAGGTCTGGAAGTCTTCCAAAAGGGGCTGGACAACCATTTGGCTGAAACGATGGAAGGTCTCCTGCCTAAGCAGGGGGTTGGACCAGAAGACCTCCATGGTCCCTTCCGACTCTCTTATTCCGTCTTCTGAGTCGTGTGAAGAAAGCTTTGGTGGGTAATTGTTCACGGAACGGGTTGAAATGTCATGACTCCCAATTTTCTACAATAGTGGAACTAACACATTGTTAAGAGTTTCACTTTTTAAGGAATCCTTAAAGGTGTTCTATAGGGATACGGTGGCTCAGTGTCTAAGATGCTGAGCTTGTCGATCAGAAAGGCCAGCGGTTCGAATCCCTAGCGCCGCGTAATGGAGTGAGCTCCCGTTCTGCCAACCTAGCAGTTCGAAAGCAGGTAAAAAATGCAAGTAGAAAAATAGGAACCACCTTTGGTGGGAAGGGAACAGCGTTCTGTGCGCCTTCGGCGTTGAGTCATGCTGGCCACATGACCACGGAGGCGTCTTCGGACAGCGCTGGCTCTTTGGCTTTGAAACTGAGATGAGCACCGCCCCCTAGAGTTGGGAACGACCAGCACATAGGTGCTTGGGGAACTTTTACCTTTAAAGGTGTTCTACAAACCTGTAATCAAGTGCCAACTGCAGCTATAAGCTTTAGATCTTTAGATCTAACAGGCCTCTTATCCCAAATTTCCGCTGATTGACTTTTTTCTTGGAATTAAGATTTACTTCTGAATGCACAAGAGGATGTCTGCTTTAAACAAGAAGCAAAATACATTTTGCCTCGGTTGAAAGTTGTTATTTGATAATAATCTGTGGGATCCCACTAACAGCATCCTAAAAATAGGGAAACGTAGATTATCCGGTCTCTTTCGAAGAACTGAAGGTGTCGTGTTAGTACCGAAGTATTTAGAATACCTGTGAATGCATCCTTTTATAATGTCTTCTCCTCTTTTTTTTGAAATGCTGTTTTTTTCCAGGTCGCCACCGTGTCTGAGAAATCTCGAATCATGGAACTGGAACGAGATCTGGTACTGCGGGAGAAGGAAGTCGCTGACCTGCAGTCAAGATTGGAGTCCAGTAAAGTGACCAGCAACGTGGACACGTCCCTCTCGCTCCTACAGGAAATCAGCACCCTGCAAGAGAAGATGGCCTCGTTGAACAAGGAACACGAGGTGGAGAAGAAGTCCTTGCGGGACAAACTTGGGGTCACGGAGGAGTCCTTCCAGAAGGAAATCAAGACCTTGTTGTCCTCCAACGAAAAGATGGCGAAGGAGAACCATTCCTTGAAAGCCAAACTGGACACAGCCCACAAAGAGAACTTGGAGGCGATCGAATTGTGGAAATCCAAGTTGGAATCTGCCGTTGCTTCTCATCAGCAAGCGATGGAGGACCTGAAGACCTCTTTCAGCCAAGGAGCCGGGGTTCAGGCGGAGGAGTTTGCGGAGCTGAAAGTGGAGGTGGAGAAGTTGAGGGAGCACCACCAGAACGAAGCGTCCAGCTGGAAGATGAAGCAGGAGGCCGAGCGGTCGGGTTTCGCGAAGGAGATCGAAGCCCTGAAGACGAAGCTTCTGGAGGCCACCGAGGAGAAGGAGAGGAGCTTGGAAGCCCTCAAGACCCAGCTGGAGAGCGCAGAAGACCAGCACCTGGTGGAAATGGAGGACACGCTCGCCAAGTTGCACGAATCCGAAACAAAGGTAAAGGAGTTAGAAGGCCTCCAGGAGAAGTGCGTGGAGCAAAGCCAGGCCGTGGATAGCTTGAAAGCCAAAATCAAAGCTGCTGAAGCAAAGCTCGTGAGCCTGGAGGGTCTTCAGAAGGCCCTTTCGGAAGGTAAATTGGAGCTGGAGAAACTCGGCGAGGAACACGAGGCCGCCCTAAGAAAGATACAGAGTTTAGAAAATGACAGAAATAATGAAAGTAGCCAGGTTGGTACCCCAGCATCCATGTTTGTTTCATTTTGCTTTAATGTTCGGCATTTGTTTTTGTTTTTCCCCCATTCATTCCATTGATTTGTGTTGAGTTGAGGAATTCTATTGTTTACACATTTGAAAACTTATTTCAAGGTTTTTGAACGAATTAATAGACACCCCCCCCCCCAAATAGCAATAGCAATAGCAGTTAGACTTATATACCGCTTCNTTTTTTTTTTTTTAATCTTCTACGTGGATCTTATAACACAATCCAGGTAGAATTAACAACCGTTTTCCACAAAGGGGGCAGAGAAACCGTAACTTATCCGTAGGCGTCTGGTTTGAATCTTACAAGACCTCGAATCTCTTCTCAAAAAAATAATAATAATATCAGAATTATTCCGCTGGGATGCTTAATTCTTAATTCTCCCCAGAATAGGAGAAATAATCTTGTTGTTGTTTTGTTTTTTAAATTGTCCACAGGAAGGTTGAGGATCTCCAGTTCCGGGTGGAAGAAGAATCTATTACTAAAGGCGATTTGGAGGTAAACATGTCTCCGATTCTCTTAAACCGGATGCACGGAAAAAGGAAGCATTTATACCGTAGCAAGCTACCAAGAGATTAGAGAAAAGAGGTGGCTGCTTTATCACGTCTGAAAGGACCCCGGATGCGGCTTAATTTTTGCTAGCTGCGTGTTCTCGCATTTGACACTTGATTTTTCTTTCTAATTCTTTTTGTCTCCGCTGTGAGTAAGTAACACTCTTCATTCTTGTGTTTCGCTCCCGTCTCTCTCGATAACCTTTCTTGGATGCCTTTCCCCAAAACCCCTAATGAAAACCGCTCGTTAAAAAACACCGCCCCTGGAAATTGGCGCCAAAGCTTTAAAACTGGCAGCGGTTCGCTTTCGTCTCTGCCGAAGCGAAGACCTGAAGATCAGTAATTCTAAAATGAGGGCTGAGAAGCCCCCCCCCCAGCCAGAGCTAAGATTTGATGCTCAATTATCACCTTTTCCTTCTTTGGGAAGTTTTTCCAAGAACGCAAAGGTTTAAAGCAGTCAGGTGGCTACGCGAACATCTGAACTGTGTTCCCAGCCTTCTTTCGCCTACACAACCCTTTGCAAACTGGTCTTCGACAGGGAACCCCTGCTGGTTTTGCACGCTAAAGCCACACGTCCTGTTTCTGCCTGCTTTGTGGCACGTTTGATGCTTGATTTTCAGAAACGAAACTCTTTTTTAAGATGTTCAGTAAATGCTTTTCCCCCTCCCCTAACCTCGTGTCTCATGCGAAAGTTGGAAACTGACATGCTTGAGCTGCAGATAATCCAGGCTGAAATCAGGAGGCTGGAAGAGTTAATATTTCATATATTAATATATCATCTTTAGTTCTGCTACTTTTTATGTTCTCCGACCATCCATTTTATCTGGATTTTTTTTTCAAGGAATGCTCATTTTCAGCTTCTGGTTCTTTTGTCTGTTTTGTGTCTGTGTGTGTGGATGCCTGTGATCTGTAAACAGCAAAAACTGTATATTGTTATTACTGTTATGATTAGTTTGAAATACAATGCCTACAGGAATGCCCTGATTTAGCCAGTGTCCTGTTTAGTGACTGTTTGCAGCCAGGACGGTGATGAAAAAGCAACTTCCTCCTCGCAGGCCTGTGAAGTCAGATCCTAAGCACAGTCATGGTTTCGTTTAGCGACGGCTTGGCTTAACAACCGAGTTGCCTGTCGCTGAGGGAGGGGCAACCTGTGCTCCAGCCCTCTGTATCCCTCAGACAGCTGGTTGGTGAACGTCAGAATTGCTCGATCTTTTCCCCTTGACCACAAAGAACTCGCCATGCCTTGTGGAACATGGATGCCCATTAAAACCGTTGAGAAGTTCCAGAAATTAGCTCCGTGAGAAGATCTGAGGCCTACATACTACTTCCAAACTTGCACATTCTGGTCACTTCACACAATGACTTGACTAGAGGTCACACTGCTTGCCCGGCCCATCCATTCTGACCTAGGTTTTCCCCAACAGCATGAAGCCCTCGTCCCGATAAACCCCTTTTATTTCATTTACATGAATTCCTCTCCAGCGAAGTCTTTCCCCTCCTATGGTCTTTCAAGATAGTTCACAATTACCAACCTTGGAGAACAGCCAGGCTGATATCTTTCAGACGCCGCAATATTTGGCAAGAGTGCAGGAAGGAACTAATTATTCTCCTGCAAACTCCACTCCCCTTTCGCTCCCCTCTTATGTCCTTTGAGAGCGGCCATTCACCGTCCACCTGTGGCCTTACTCCCAAGCTGTACCAGGGGCCAAGCATCTCCCAGCCTCACTCCCGAGTCGACTCTTGTTTCCTTAATGGTTCTTGCCTTCTGGCAGCCTCGCACACTGGGAACAGGCTCCAGATGTTCTTCTGCCTCACTGATGTCTGACTCCGAAGGCAGCTGGAAACTGTTTGACGGCCCTGNAGAGAGAGAGAGAGAGAGAGAGAGAGAGAGAGAGAGAGAGAGAGAGAGAGAGAGATAGATAGATAGGGAAAGAGGGAGGGAGAGGGATAATACATAGGTAGAAAGATGATGATGAAGACATTGATGATGGATGGATGGATGGATGGATGGATGGATGGATGATAGATGATAGCTAGGTGATAGCTAGCAAATGAGTGAGCGAGCAAGTGAGAAAGAGAGAGAGAGAGATGATACATAGAGATAGATAGATGATGATGAAGATGATAGATGGATGGATGGATGGACAGACAGACAGATGATAGACAGACAGATCTTATCTTAGCTTGATTTGTATTAGGGTAAGAGAATACCAGGAAATTCTAAGGCACTAGGCTAGATTTTTAAATTAAAAAAGGCAGCCTAGAAGAAGACAAAGCCAATTCACTTCTAAATCATTCCCATGAACATTGCATAGTGTCACCTTAAAAAAAGATGGGTAGCAATCTCAAAATTGCCAGGCCATCCCATTAATGTACAAGAGGTGGCAACTCCTGGCCAACCTTGGCTGGTCTCAAAAGAACACCAAGATCAAAGCAGATTATATTTTGGAAGGAGAGGCCATCAGCCTCTCCAGCTGTGGACACTCGAGGTCAATCCCACCACCACTCCGTCCCCCAGAACTCGATTGGGGCAAATCCTTTCTCTAATAGCGCCAAGAAAGCTTCACAGATGCCACCAGGAGTTGAGCTTGACTTTTACCTTGACGTCAGCCATGCGTCCTTGAGGAATCTCCTTATCCGGCACTGTTCCGTGTCTCCCAACAGGAAGATACATCCGCACAAATCTGAACATGCCTCACAACTTGCCTCAACGGAGCGGTGGCTTCAGGGAGTATGAAAAGGATGCTCCCATCACGGTGTTGGGATGCACGCAAGCCCGGCTTGTGGGTGAGTTCGCCTGCTCAGGGGTTTGGTGCCGGAAGGGGCACGTTGAAAAGGTGTATCTTTGCCTTTGCAAGCTCTTTGTCGAAAGCAGGGGTGTCAAACACAAGGCCCGCGGGCCGGATGTGGCCGACGAGGGCCATCCTGGAAAATGTAAGGGGCCTGCCCATGTCGCTTCAGCCTGGCCTACTCAGTGTGACGAGGAAACAGGCCAGCAGTTTGGGGAGTGGGGCCAAGTCAGCCATGCCCACCCAGTCAGCCATGTCAAGTGAGTGGCATCAAGCTGGCCATGCCCACCCAGTCGGCCATGCCCAGTAAGTGGCATGAAGCTGGCCACGCCCACCCAGTCGGCCATGCCCAGTAAGTGGCATGAAGCTGGCCATGCCCACCGTCATCCACACCCACCCAGTAAGCTATGCTT